GACAAGAATGGCGATGGTGGTATAACTGTCGTTGAGTTTGAGGCAGAGCCGGTCAAAAGCAGCCGACATTGCTGCGAAGTTGATTTCGTGTGGGGCCGGATGAGATCTTTGTCTCATACGCCACCTTGATGCAGGTTGCCCTGCAAGATCCAACGCTATTGCAAGTGTTCAATGCATTGGAGATCAGTGCGGACGATGCTTGGGCTTCTAGGTTTTGCAGTAGTACCCTTTTGCCCTTTTTNNTTTTTAGTTTGGGGTCTCCTTTTTAAGGTGCTACTGCAGAACCTAGGCTTTGTTTACGCAGTTGGATTCGGAATCTTGGCAGCAGCAGTCAAGCGAAAGAAGTCATCTCAGCGCCTCATGCTCGGATGCTTGGTGCTTCAGGTTTAGGTCCTGTACAACTGTTATTTGTTTGTACTGTGTGAGCCATAGCCATCGAACTCGTTTGAGGGAGAGGAGCATCTTAGAGATTAATTGAACACAGACACATTCTTTCTCAGATACTCCCGTTCATTTTGCTGAGGACGGCGATGCCCACGTCGATGCAGACGAATTTCTTGAAGGTGCTTTGCTTGAAATGAGCCTGATTATCCAGTGTTAATTAAGGTCGTCGACCGACGGTATTCACTGCCGCAACTATACTTGAATGGTGGCCTTCAGTCAACATGCATAGTCCAGCAGCTAGACCAACACGCTGAAGCAGGAATCACAATCATCAGAAGTTGCCAGAGCGCGAGTGTGATTTTTCCTAAAGTTGTGGACCTTGCCTGTGTCAGAAACCTTTCCGTCTCCGCAGTCGCTTCTCGAAAGTCTGGCAGGCTGCATGCTTCTGAAGGGACCGGCGAGGTCTGTAGATGCCGTTTGGCGGCACTTGAGCGGGGGCGATGACTCTCCATTAGTTTTGCAGCAGTCTCAGCCCCCATCCCAGGTCATGGGCATCAAGAGGGACCTGGCTGTTGTGAAACAACGCTTGGAGCAGCAGGCAGTAGTTCATGGCAAGAGAGTGGCAGTGCTTTCAGCGAGGGCAGAGAGAACCATAACAGATGCGACGTGTGGACAAGTTGAAGGTGTCTGCACTGCTGGGGATGAAAAGCAGCGGCTAAGGTGTCCCAGCCTTAGGTTTTGCAATCTAGTCATGTGTGGTTAGGCATTTCTGAGGGGCTGATGCCGTGGAAATGCCATGAAGCGTCTCCTTGGGGCCTCCGAGTTGTGCAGACCTGCTCGCAGATGAAGCCCTTCCTCGACTAAGGCGTCCAAACCCTGCCGCTCCAAATCTCGTAGCACCGCCTTATTCCCTCTTCTCACTACAGTGGCGAGATGTCACAATGGCATCTTGCTTGCAGGATCGCTGGACTCTGCCAAAGGCAAGCACCAGAATGCAATGTTGTGTCTCTCTACCTTCAACCTCAGACTATGCACAGAAGCTCCATCCTGGACGCAGTCAACATTGGCATTGTGCATCTTATGAAAGCACCCGAAAAGACGAGGGCTCCCTGTGCAGCTTTCTGCCAGCATGGAAGTCTGCAGAATCGCAGATTTGCGATGAGTTCACTCATCGCCCCGACTCCCCGTCGATGTCTATAGAACACGTGGTGGTAAGCATGGGCCTGGAGAGAATTGGAGAGACCGTCGCGATGGAAACGGATGAGCCCTGACTGCTACACAAACATTTGACGACACAGAACGAAGTAAAACTCGAACGCAAACCTTGCAGCTTCATTCTTATGCTGCAGGACTTGGTTGTTTTGCCGTGAGGCACCACGTCAGTCTGGCGCAAGCCATATCGCTCAAGAAAGCTGGAGAAAGCCTGTGAGTCCGTTTCTGGTGTAGTAAGGACCCTTCTACCCGAACAGTGAACAGCTGTAGTTACATTGCCAACTGGTCGTCTCAACGAGATCGGTCATGAAGGGAAGTAGATTCGGAATCAAAGGACAAGAGACTCCAGAGCACAGCAGCAGGGATCCTGACGCTGTGCTATGTTCCGCGATGGTCGTACTCGACTCGCCGCTGCAGCGGCAAAGCGCAAACAGACCGCCAGTGCCGGCTGAGGAGGAGCGTGGGTTGCTTTCTGCTGCACATCTGTTGAAGCCGCTGCCTCTCAGGAGGCGCTCGGGACTGCAGATGCCGCTGACTTGGACACCGGGAGGGGCCTTTGCGCAGACACTCCAAAGAAAGGTGCCAAGAAAAAATCAAAAAGAATTAGCCTCGCGGCAGAAGCAGCAACATGGGAGTGGGACGACTGACAGCCATCCGCTTCCTAGGTCCAACTGCGAGACGACATGCTCTTCAAACGCTTGGAGGACTGGGGATCGGAAGCTGTTCCATTCCCGAATGGCTCAAGCGCAGCTGTTGCTTCCGCAGGAACAGGTCATGTGATGCCCAGTAGATACAAGGATTTGTTTTGTAGTCAGCCCGAGAATCCGCAAGCTCGGTCCGGCTGAACGAAAAAGTCGAGTTCTGCAGGATTGGCTATCGCGAATGGAGGCGTGGGAGTACAGAGTGGCTTTCGGGATCTTTCGGGCCACTCTCGCAAAACTGCTTGAATTCCATTCGGCGTGCTGCAACCAGAAAATTTTGACGACATGCAGCACGACGCGTGCAAGCGGCTCGCGGCAGGATAAGCTGCAAAGCTCCTGAACGGCAGTAAAAACAAGTTAGACAATAGATCTGTCTGCAGGCGGTTATCGACAATGCCCTCAGCACATCGCGGCAGGCATCGTCATTGTCGCAGAAACAAGCGCAGCTACAAGTCTCATGCATAATTTGCACCCCAGAAGCAGACCGTGTTTAGCGGCATTTAACGGCAACATAACGCACATGATATGTATTGTGTTCACCGGAGACAAGACAAACGAAGATACACTGGGAGTTCCATTGCACTTGGGCAACTTGTGTTATCGAAAGCTCATTCTGAAGACCGCTGTATCTTCAATGAGTTGCATCGAAAGTCGAAGCAGGCAAGGACCACCAAAGTACAGCTCAAGCATACTCGAAGCACCGAAGTTGAGACAGGTGCTGGCCTGTTCGCAGTAGTTAGTCTTGTAAAACGCCTGAAACATACCTAAACGCTTAATGACTTAATGGCCGTGAACCGATGAGGAGTTGATGTTTTCTGTGCCATGGGGCAAGGGTTAGACTGCCCCAACTAGCAGGTGGGGGAGTGTTAGCAATCCGGAGCATATTAACGTAATGTCGGCCAGCATGTTTCAGGAAGCGGCAAGATCTGGAAAGGGAAGGGGAAGACTTGCTACACGTCCCTCAAGTACTAAGTCCCTCTCCTTGGCAGGTCAGGCCGGTCACTCCACGATCGTTCTGCTCGTCGGGCGGGGAGCTTTCACTGGACGATGCACCCATCACAAAGGCCTGGTCAGAGACGTTTAAGGCTGCAGTTTCTATGCGGTTTTCAGTCCTATCTTGATCTGCGTAGACTCCATGAGCTGCCTTCTGAAGTCCAGGACACTTTGTCGGAGCACTTGCCTTTGGTTCCAAGAGGTCCGAGATCACTTAGACGGTGTTCTTAAGGCTCTGGAGATCCTAGAGGAAATAGTCCTCAGACTATCCACCGTCGACGAGTGTGTGCTGTTCAGTGAATGCTAGCTCTGCTCGTGCCGCGAAGCTCGAGCCAAATGTTCTTCGTTTTGCAAGCAGCAGTACTCTCGCAAAGTCAGCACAGGATTTTGCGGTGCGGCATAGGACATAAGGTGTCAACGAGTTCCCTGAACCTGGTGAGACATGTTGACAAGCCGCCGCTATTGCCCAGGATGTGCAAAATCTAATCTGGGATTGTCCAAAGTTGTTATCTCTGCACATGCAAACATAGCACACCGTGAGGTGCGGCGTAAAACCCGTGTGGCCACCCGGGACTCCTGGGACAAGGACTTGGAGGACTGTGCAAACTGAGTGTGTCTTTGTCTTTGCCGTGTTGCCGCACAAAAATCATAAGCTACTAACTTCTCATTACTGGATGGTTCTTGTCCTGGCACGGTGTTCTGCAAGGGAGGAACTAGGTTTCCAGCTGTCGATTCAGGACAAGAGACCACAGCATCAGGTCTTGCCGGCTGTGGATTCACCTTTCGCCGAGCTTGGAAGCTTGGAATTTTAGAGATTGAAATCACCTTGACGTCGATCTAGCAAAACCTGTATCAGCAGCAGCAGCATCGGAAGTTGTAAGACTGCAGATCTTGCCCCTCTGTTGTCGTGTTTGCGTCAACAGCACGCCGGTTTCGCAATCCCCATGCCGTGACTCTGATGTTTAGGAGGTCCCAATACCGCTTCGGCCTTCTGCCCGTGACAGGGAGAAGAAAGCCCGTCCGCCGCCAACATATTGCCGGATTTGCCCGAGGAGCCTCTCTGAAAGTTTTTTTGAAAGCTCGAGTTCAGAAGCTCAGACTGCCCCCGCGACAAATTTGACTCCACTGTGGGAAGCTCCACTCAACACTAGATAATACCAGCTGCAGGACAGGCCGAAGTTTGTATCCACACGGACGAAGGCCTGGGAAAGACGAAAAATAAAAGTGATGGAAATGGTGATGTAATCCAAAGATTGCAATCCCTGCAGGCCCTCGAATCGCAGGAGCCTGCTAGCTTGAGGCCGGGTGTGGGTGATTCTCAAGCTCAGCAAGCGGATACCGGTGAATGCAGCTCACAGGGAACAAGTGGCAGGCTGCATGTCTGCGTCTCAGCAGTAGCCCGCTAGGGCACCACCTCATCGCATGGCTTGCCCGCTTTCCGATTCATGGTGGTCTCAAGCTTAGCAGAGGCAGACGATGCTCGCAACAAACCTCGACAAGGAGGACCTGCAGATGTAGGGAATTTCTCACGACAGGTTGGCAGGCAGAGGTTTTGAAACGGCAACATGACCTTTGGCACTCGGTTGTTCAAAGGATGAAAAGCTCAGCTTTCCACGCAGAGCTCTTGCTCGCATCGTGAAATCCTGGCTGCGACTTGTTTGCAAAACAGCTCATCTGCTTCACACCCTCGAGCAGGGGACAAGTCCTCAGCCAGAACCGAGGTTTGAGGCCTTCTTTGCACTCGTGCCTGAAGCTTACTTCGCTTGGCACAGGAGATCATGGGAGCATATGGGAGCCCTGCGGCCCTGCCAGGATTCTCTCAAACTCGGTCTTCATCGCAGTTCAGGTGGAAGCCACCGCAAGGGATCCAGGCACCTTCGATTCAAAAGCTCGCAGCCTGCAGAATCTGTCCTTGACTTTGCTGAGCTTTAGACTGTGACAGCGGATGGGGCGACCCTCAGGGACAAAGCAGCCAACTGCCCCCAAAGACGTGGCCTTCCAAATCCCGAATGCTGAGCCGCTATCCCCACAGACTGCATTCGAGTGAAAATGTGTGCTCCGGGTGATGTCAGAGGAATCCATCTTGCATTGCGGCAATCCCCCATAATTCTACATGTCTTCACAAGATCTGGATGTGTTATGTGTGTCACCCATTCCCGCTCCAGACTGGTGCGTGCCTCTGGTCTGCACAGCCAAGACATCGAAAACAACGACATACAAGCATTACGTGGGCTTGCCGGCGGCAGAGTCCCATCGTCAAAGCCCAGGGCGAGAACAGGCATCCAGTCTCCCCGCACGAAAGGTGCAGAGACTTCGGTACTCTGATCTCATCTGGAGCAGGCATCAACCAGGATGTTGGGTACTTCGTTGTGGGCTCGATTTACACTTTTCTGCCCTGCCCCAAAGCCGATGAAAAAGTGGCTTCAACTACATCTGTTATGGACGTCGGATGCTCAGGTTTACAACAGAACTTGTGCTCCGAGTGCTGGTCTTCGGCCTTACAGTCTTCGTTGGACCAGTGCCTTAGCTGAGAGAGACTTCGACTTCGAGCCGCCTGAAGTTCCAACGTGCTGGTAGCTGTGCTCCCACTGGTACAGAGACCCGCTGGCTATCTTTTGCACTGCATTGCAAGTTGTGTTTCGGATAGTGATCGCATTGTTTGTGGAACGCCATGTCCGCCTAAGAGACTTAACTTCCAACGCGACCACATCCCAACCTCACAAACACGTGCAGTAGGGGGATGTAGGGGGTATAGGGTGCACGCCTGCATCATGCCCGAACCCTGTTAATGACCACCACAACCACATCCACGATCACGACGACATACCGCTATTCACATCCTTTTCCATGGATGCGGCCAACGGGTGCGCAGTGACTGCGTGCAAACCGGGGCTTCAATCTGGTGTTGTCCTCGCCATTGTTGTGCATTCCATTGCATTCCGCTCGTCATTTCAGGACTGGGCCTGGCTTCTTCTGGATTTGCTTGTGGCGTGGATCTCAGAGCCGCAGACCAAATTGACGCTGAAAAGGGAGCTGCGGAGCCATGAAGAAGTCGATGTCCTTCCTGAAGATTCTGCACTCGCAGCAGTTATAGCACACAGACACTTGCGAGTCTGCAGCCAGGGGGAACGTGTGGAGGTCTCAACGCACACCGCTGCGAGTGGTGTTGTTGCTATGTGGGAATTAATCTTGTCCAAGGCAGTAGAAGCTGTGGAAAGTTCCTTACGCAGTCCATGCTGTAGGGTCGATCGGTGGGTGGGTGCAGATAGACAAGTCACGCACATGCGCAACTATGTCATCTCGCAGGTATCATCGAGCCTTTTTGAGTTTGTCTTGGAGCTTGCTTTGCAACAGCAGGAGGCTCGATGCTGCACAGCTGGTGCTTGTAAACTTGTGCTTGGCAAGAAAGATGAGCGACCAGCGATCTATATCAACTCAGCTTCCGAAGTGATTACGGTGATTACGGGCATACGGCGGCAGAGCTGTACTTTCGGCTGCGTGCCTGCAGGACAGCACCAGCGTGCTGACAAATATGCGGCTTCTACGGATCTTGCGCATTGGAAGAATCACGCGCGCCATACGTGTGGTGAGGCCAAGGGTTGAAACGAGGTTCATGACTGTTTCATGTCAACATGTCGTGAATGTGCAGTGTCACATCCGGGAAGCAGGCTCTGTTATGTATCTGCAGCTGGTAAGAACACAGATTGTCTGGCTCTTTGCGTTGATGTCCATGATGGTGGTAGGCTCACTCAGGTCCCATCCATCACCATTGCCACCTTTGTTATCATCGCAAAGATCAGTACTAGCATCTTCATGTGGTCATGAGTCTCATCGCTTTCACCTTGGCCATCCGGCGAGTCGTCGTGTAGTCCTGGTAATGGTCGTGGCCGTAGTCTTTGTAGTCACAAGGTGCTCGTGCTGTCGTCCGATCATCCTTGTCATCATCATCTCGAGCAGCAGCATGGTCCAAGATAGTTACCAACGCGACCACCATCATCAATATGATGATGATGATGATCATCATCATCATCATCGGCAGCAGCAGCATCGCACTCATGGTCTCGTCATGAAGTCATGCCATGTCATTTCATGCTCAGTCTACGGGAGGTTCTTCTCGGGCCCTCCTGTGTAGGAGAAGTGATTGCTCCTCCTGTGCAGGCTTGTCAAGTTTATCCGGTCGCTACGGCAGCTTCTATACTCCATCGGACAAACCCTGAGAGCTATGGAGGCTTGTCCGACTCAGCAAAATTTTCGCAAACAGCGTTACAGAGAAAGAAAAACCACAGGACTTCGGCAAACAGCTCCATGAGATGAAACTCTGTAGATTCGCATCTTGTGGTGCCTAGGACCAGTTCGGGTTAAGCCTAAGGTAACGAGTGCATTTGCAGGAAATTACATTGTTTTGTTTGTTGTTTTGCCAGAAACTGTCCGCAGCTTGAGCTTTACAGCCCGTATCTCAGGCATGGTCTGTGGTCCTTCTGGGTCTCATCATCTTTCTGTGCCTGGGCTTAAGAATTTCGGACAGGCACATAGATTTGTTTTGAAGTCCTTTCGAAGGTTTGGCCTGATCTTCACTGACATATCCAGCGAGTACCTTACACGCGATGTGACTTGGTTGGAGCACGGAGGAATCACATGACTTTTGCTTGCGCACCGTCTGCCGGCAGACGGTAGCCAATTTCCGGCCTCAGGTGACCGAGATCTCGGAAGAATTCGAAGGCTGGGGACAAGCTGTCGCGAATTGTAGGCTCGTTGTATCTTTGCAGCCTTGCGGTGCGTTGTCGGTGCGCACTTGTTCGGCCCATTTCGGCCCGGCAGGCTTCATCGTGAATCGATTCGGCGGGCTGGAACGGTCGATGCATACACTTTTTGCATCTGTTACCGGAGGCCTCAAGGGAGAAAAGAGTCGACGCCCACTGCAAAACAAGCATAGGAGCCCGGTGCAGACCAGCGACGCTGCGCAGGCTTGACTTGGATTGAAGCCCTCGATGCCCTTTCCCACATATCTACAGTTTGGGGTCAGCAGCTCGGGCCTTCCCGTGAAAGCAGTGACCACGACAAGCTATATCCAAGGCTTGCTGTTCGAAGCCTACATAGCCTTCTGCTTGTTCGCGGCACCTTGGCAACTTTTCGGGGAAGCACTCTGCACGTTGTGCTTGACCTTTGAAAGCCGTCCAGTTGGGCCCAAGGTGCTCAATGTGATGACAGGTCCGGAAAGTCAAGCAGCATCAGACGGATGATAACATCCTGCATCATTTTTTCGCCATACAGGTGTATTTTGTCAAAGTGCTATGGAAAGCCCAGCACTTGGGTCGAGTGGCGCCTGTGCATGGATCGATAATGTCAGCAAGTATACCGGCTGTGTGCAGCACTCAGGTGCGGAAAAGGACCACGAGCTTGTTCTGCAGAATGTTGTCCAGGAGAAGGCAAAGTACTTCAGGGCGGTGCGTCGACTGTTTGCACAGACTCTCGGCTTCACAACTGAATCAAAAACGAGTCCACCAATGCGCAACTGCACACGGTGCCGACTGGCGAACGCTTATGAAGCATCTTTGAGGGACAACCCAAGGTTGGACCAGAATGGGGACGGTGGCATCACTGCCAAAGAATTCGAGGCTGTAAGTTGGCAGTGCTGTTGCAATCACATTCTGTGCCAGACCGACTATCATTCAAAGGTCGCACTGGAGGATCCTGCACTGATGCACGTGTTTGACGCGTTGGAGGCAAGGCCTGCATCAGCCTGCTGTCCATTTCGCACACAACTGCTAAACCACCGCAGATCAGTGCCGACGATGCGTGGAACTTGTTCACGCAGCTCGATTCAGAGCTTCGGCTGCAACTTTGGCAACTATGGCTCTAGCAGCTGCGACGTACGCAAGCATCAGCAGCATCATTGTCGCCGTTGGTGTTTCCTTCCCCTTGCTTTGCGCACTCTTTGAAACCGCCTAGAGGCGACCCCATGCCCAGCAGCCCCAACAAACCGATATACTTGAGCCCCAAACCGCAAAGCATCTAGAACAACATTTAACAAGGATCGGCGGGGCCTCCTCCCCCCCTCCGGGTCCCTGGGGCCCAGCTGATGCTGATGATGAAAACTCGCACAACATCGCCCTGCGCCTGATGGATGCTCGGATGCCCGCCTGGGGTCGTGCACGGGTACCCGGGGCGGGGCCGGTGGGCGCTGTGCGGCGAGGGGGTTCTGGGTGTTTTAGGGGTTGGGCTTGCCCTGGGTGAGGCGCAGGCGTCTTGGGAGAAATTAAATTACTTCGTAAGAAAGCAACGAAGCCGGCTGTGCGAGAGCAATGAAACCAGACTATAATCGGTGTCCGGGAGCGCTGTGGGCATGGGGGTCCTGGCTCCTGAGGGGTTGGGCTTGCTTGCCTCAGGCTAAACTGCACTGCTAAAAGCAATGAAACCGAATATGGGCGACTTCAACGCTACAACACGTTGCTTGGGACTGGGGGAGGGGGGGGGGCGGTGGTGCGCGCTACGGGGCCTGTGAGGCCAGAGGGGTTGGGCTTTTTATTGGGCTCGTATTAGTTACTGCATGCTTCCAGAGCAGAGTGCAAACACAGCTTCACGGGCACCGCCCCCAGGGGAGGTCGGCGGATAATCTGGTCTTTTCGCTAAAAGATCAGTTTACTTCATGCATTCTCTCGTTCCGCTCGCTTCTTTGTAAATAAGTTGGTCTTTTCTGCTGTAGGAGAGACCGAATTTGGTTATATTGCTTGGCTTTTATTCATGAATTTCATGCATTCTCTTTTTTCTTGCGTAAATTAGTCAAGAAGTCCTTTGCCAAATGCCTTGTTCATAGCTTATGGTTTTTTGTGTCAAGAGATAATGAAGCTGGAGAATTGACTGGAGGACAGAAAGCTTAGGCGACACGTGTTTCTTGAGGTTATAACCGGGCTCGACAGTTCCAGTTTCGGCCGCCAGTGCGTTTTGTGTCTGATTAGATAAGACAGGCATGCATGCGCTTCACTCCTTTGTCCTTGTGTCTTAAATGTCTTAGTCTTCATCGTTTTGACATAACACAACAGGCGTTTCATCACCCGTCATTTCTGCAAAATCGCCGTCAGAAGTTTAGACCCTGCCTCGTCGAGATCGCTATAGCACTTCACCGAGGATGGCGATGCCCACGTCGATGCCGAGGAGTTCCTGGAAGGCGCGAACAGGAAAAGGGATTTGCTCACGCAAATTGCAAATTCGGTACTGGCCAGGCTGTATGCTTCTGAAGGGACCGGCACGCTCGATAGACGAAGCTCGGCAGGATTTGGATTCCGCACTTGGCATGTGTGTTCCTGCCCTTTGCTTGCACAGGTCATGGGGATCAAGCGGGACGTTGCTGTTGTGAAGCATCGTTTGCAGCAGGCCGGGAAAAGGAAACCTGAGATGTGACCCACCGGGAAGCTTCATGAGCGTGGTACGTTTCAGGTCTTCGCCACGCTGAGATATTCAGGATGAAGAAGCAGCCATGCGTTGATGCTTCCACCGGTCCGGCAATTGCGCGAGCTTGATTCCAGAGCATGCATCCCATGCCAGCCGGCATAGCCATGCGGTGCCTGCGCTAGGGCTGGAACTCTAACGGAATACAGCTGCTGACAGCTGGTGCGAAAAAGAGTTTGTTGCTTGCCTCGTGCCCAAGGCACTGGGCAAGCGTGTCGTTTTGGTCAGCATAGCGACCGCTGCACCACTTCTCCGTCCGACCTGTAGCTGCAAGCAGTTCACTCGAATGCACTCTGTTTGCGGTTAGCTACAGAGGTAGGATGGTAGAGACTCATGTTCCTCAGGAAGCGTATTCTGTCAGTTGTCCCACGAAGTGGGGGAAGACAAAGGTGTACCCAATCTCGAGAAGCATGCAGGCAATACAAAACACGTCGCTGGGCATGCAACCAGCAAAGATCAGCACCTGAAAAGACACAGCTTTGTTCGCAGCCATCAGGGCACATAGAGCACGCTGGCCACACCAAGCGTGTAGACAGGATTGAAAAATGGGAGGGCCGGCTACAGATACTGTTATGTTGTTCCTGCCAAGCATGCGAAGACCTTCGAAATCTTCTTGACGCACTGTTCAGCCACAGTATGTGGCGCAGGGGGCGCCTTGCCAGCCTAATCTTTATCCGAAGCACTGCTACTAGCTCGCTAGCCACTGGCAGATTTCTCGGCAGATGGCCTGAAATGTGCGTGGAGCCCAGTGCAATCGAAATTTGCTGGAAAGGAGGGAAGTGCCTCCATTGAGACATGCGCAGAAGTTTCGCAGCCAGGCGCCGTCAGGGACTTGAAGCTGTCAGTGATCTCAGAGGGCAAAAAGGTGCCCGTGGGCTATGCAGGCAGGTCGGCGGTTTCGGGCACAGTTCTGGTTGAAACTGAATGTAACAGGCCATCCAGCACGAATTCGGACAGAAACCTTCGCTCCTCGCCTTGAATTGGCTTTGCATCCGGGAAAGGACGGCGAAAGGTGTGGACCCTTCCCAAAATCTGGGAAAAGACTTTCCTTTAGCGCATCAAGACTGCACCGACTCACAACCCTGAAGTACAACATGCAAGGGCAGCGTTGCTGGCCAACTAAGATAAAGGCAAGACCCAGGCTCGACCTTCATCATCATTGACAGCGGGTCTTCAGGCCCTGACACACACACACACACAAAGAGAGAGAGGCAGGCATCTCCGCAACGTTCGGGGGCGCCGACGGCACGCGGGCAGGGGGCAACCCCTGTCCCTAACCCTGTCGAAAGAAAGAAAGGCATCTCGAATTAGGTGGCCCGAGTTGATATCGCGGTGCAACTGGCATTGATCTCCTGTGCCCAGACCTGAAAGGCTAAAAACCAGCATGCAAGAGCTTCTGTCTGCTCAAGCGACACAGCACCCACGTGCACGCACACACACACACACTCTCAGGCTTGGCAAGAACTGATGCGCAGAACTCTGGACTACTTAAATATATGATGAAGCTGGTAATGGTGATGATAACGACAAATGAGATGAATTTTTTGGTGCCATGTATGCCAGACCGACGGAATGGCATACGGAAAACAAGGTGAGATGATTCGGGAGTGAGGGTATGGGTCATGCCCTCGCTGTGCCAGACACCGGGAATGGCACAGCACGAAGTGAGATGCAAATGAACATGAAGATGATTGTATCTCGCAGCTGCCCGCGCTGGGGCCCAGGGCGGGTACTGGCAGGTACGGTTTCACAGGGTTGGGGAGGGGGGGTTTCGGTGACAAGGACCCTCTCCCCACCCCTCCTGGTCCCCTGCACGTACTTGACGCCATGTCCAGGCGTTTACACATGCACACACGCTGCCCCATCATTGCAGAGCCGGGTTTCATACTGCCCCTTGGTGACTTCAACACGGGGGATGCATGCTGCTGCTTGCTGGCTGGCTGACCTCGCCCAGGAAGGCTCGATTTTTTTTGCTCATCGCCCTCCAAACGGAAGCAGTGCGCCATGGGCCGGGGCCCCACTCGTTGACTTGGTCGATTTTCCGCTTCGTTCTTGCCTCTGTGAGGCATACCGCGAGCGCCTTGAAGGCAAGGGCTCGCCAGACTGGCTTTGGGAGGTCCCGCCGACGCGCTTCATTTGCGTCACAGCATTGGGAGGATCCATAGAGTTCAGTTGGGTTGACTTCAGGTTTTTCGACTGAAACCCCGGGACCAAGCGACCTTCATTCCCAGCCTGCACAGTTTCGAGGCGGTCTCCTAGCAGTTGGGGAACTAGAGCGTACCAGCGACGCTGAGTATTCTTCAAGTCAAAGTTCGTGACCAGCTTGCTTCAAGGGTGTCGATCCACAGGGACGAGGGTAGATTCTAGATGACATTTGTCAGGTAGTTCAGCCGCGCATCCTGTCATGTGGATAATGACTCTGTACCGAGCGTACCGTGTGCAACATGTTTGGCTCCATTGCCGGCTTCTCGCAACGGTTCCTGTATGACAAGGTCCAACTCCATGGGCGCTTCTTGCGCAAACCCCAGGGACCCGTGTGGCTCAGGCGAGCGGAATGATTCCTTGCTGTCCAAACTTCAGCTTGACTTCTGCGGAGGGCAGAGCTCCGCGACGGGCCAATGCAGCTGGGGCTCGTCTCCAGGGCATTGTGTCGAAGCCTTGGAGCGACCAGTATTGGAGAACTCCAGTCAGATGCAAGGCTTCTGGCAGTCTCAACTTTCAGGTCGTGGAATCTTAAAGTTCGCACGCATGATGGTCACAGTGCCATGTTTGCGCGGCTGCTCTCGGTTTACATGATTGCTTCATATTTTCGTGGCCTGACCATCCGAACGGAGTCCCGATGGATTCAGATAGCTTTTCAAGATGGGAGACATGCATGCTCTTGGTACCAAGCTTGGCTCATGGACTAGTGACTGCACGCTTTATGTCTTGGAGGCGCAGCGACGCGGTGGTGATATATGTTTTGCATTTGGCGATGAGGCGCCAAGCTTTGCAGGAAGGCAGCAAAGTTAATTCTGCTGATGTTCCATATGCTCCCCAAGTCTTTTCATGAGACCACAGGGAGATGGTGCTGCGCCAAGGTCAAACAGCGGCCATCCATTTCACTTCCTGTGCTCCTGCTAGATCGAATATTTGTCAGCTGCTCGGCACGGGCTCGCAATGGTTGGCATGCAGGCAGCTGCGCAAAGCACATTCATATGCACAGGTGGCCGACCGAAGTCATCCGCTCCCGGTCGGAGGTGATGAATCCAAGGAGGGATCTCTAAACCACACAGGTCAGGAATTCTGTGCACCTGAGTCCTGCAACGCACAGGGCACTTGGCGGTTGGTTGGTGACGACTGGGTGCTCCTGTCTTTCATGACCAACTTCAGCTGGCAAAAGCCTACGTTACAGGTACCCATCGAGCGCAGCTCGGTTGTCTTTGACAGTAATACCTATGCAACTTGGCTGAAGCACGGGGACTGGCAGCTCTGCCAAAGGTAGAACGGTTTAAGGCTCCTGACCGGAGACTGCCAGGTCACCGTGGTGCTCGCAACAAGCTATATGGACTGGCCGGATGCTGAGCACGTTGCGGCGAGTTTTGCGGGTCGCAAATCGATGGCGGTAGCTTGTCGGTTGGACAGTGGCCAAGCGCAAGCTTTGAGTCAGTGCCGAGGACGAACTGGCAGCTTTCTAGCATTCCTGGACTTGGTGTCTGTCGCTTAGAGAGCTGTGAAACGATATTCGAGACCCCTGCCACAAAGCAGTGATGCAGCTGCGCACTAAGACTCTCTCACTGGAGACTTTCTGGGGAGACCAGGCCAATACTGTTGAAGCCGATAAACAACTGAGCTTGCAGCATGTTTCCTGCAGGGTGCATGGATCACGCTGTGCGAACTGGAACCGGACGAGTCTGTGAGGCAGTTCCGGGTGCAAATTCCACATTGTATCTTCTATCAATCAATATGCTGTTTCAAGCTGGAAAAGACAAAAGTCGCTTTGAAGACATGTGCCGATCTGCCACTCGCGCAACCGGCGGCTACCGAATGCCCGTGATTGCTGATGCACCGAGATGGCCGGCGATCAAGCCCCACTTTAACGAGTCTTCCCGATGTGATGTCGCAGCGAGATGGTCATGTGCCATGCTGGGATGCTAACTCCGATGCACCTTTCATGCGACCCTGTATGTTGTGTAGCACACGTGTGTGTGCAGTAACATACGGTAACGGCGAACGCCGCCAGCACTCTGGCCCGAACGAGGTGAGCTTGTCTGCTAGCTTTGCATTCCTCGACGCCATGTCATGCCACGACCGGATGAGCGCCGTGCCCACTAAGGCGATGTCCCAGAGGAGCGCGCCGCCGCAACACCCCGCCGCGCGGTACCAGATCGCGGCATTTATCACGCCGTGGCTGGGATGCGCCGTGTTGCAGGTCGGCCGCCAGGAAGTTACCCTGCATGGGTTGGCTGGCGGCGGAGGTGACGATGGAGGATCGCACAGCACTCATGGAGTTCACGGCGGTGCTGACCATGGTTGGGCCTTCCACGCGGCCGCCGTCTACTGAAGTGACGACGTACACGAGTGGCCTCTACCCCGCCAGGGTCACAATGGTGCAGGAGCACAGCATGGAGGCGGCGAGATGGGAGCACCGCCGTCTACTTGGGCGGGCCAGCTGCAGTGGACTCCGCCGGCACCTTTCACGAGGATGCCGGATACTGTCGACCCTCTTGGTGCACACCGCCGCGACAGGACCCACGACCAGCGTCCCTGCATTGCAGCCGAATTCCTCGCTGCGGTGGGTGGGCCCACTGTAGGGATTGGGCGGCCCGGCCCTCCGAAACGACGAGGACAGCCACTGGACAGCCTCGGCGAGACGACCTGATCAGGATGCGGCGGGAGGTCATAGCGGAGCTCATCGCCGATGAGTCCACAGCATGGCCGGCAGCACGACCGGTTCGGGCGACTTACTCCACGCCTGACAAGCCGGCGCCAACCCAGGTCCTGGTCTTCTTGGAGTGCTTCACCGACTGCACTACCCAGACCTGACGGCGATGCGCGAAGCCCTCCTGGAGAGGGGTTCCAGATGTTCGGCGACATCAGGCCAGGACCGGGTTGGAGGGAGAGAGACGACGGCAGGTACCAGAACCCGGTGTCCATCGACGAGCTCCGCCGCATCAACGCCGATTGTCAGACATAAGGTAGCCACGGCGAAGGTCGGCGAGCACACCGAGAAGCTGCTCAAAGAGTTCATCGGCTCCACTATAAGGCCCCGCCATCAACACTGGGGCGACGACCTCGGTGTGCCTTAAACCGGCGAGAACGGGGAACTGAAAGTCACATGCATTCGAGTCAGAGATGTGCCGACACCATTTCACCGGCAGCTTCGTCGACTTGGCCCGCCGCATGGCGACGGAATCACGTGGCCTGGGCGTTCGACTGGATTTCCATCGGCATCCATCAGGGTTGTCTGCAGAAGCAGCTTCCCTCCCGTGGCATTCGCTCTGAGATAGGCGCAGTCAATGAAGTTGCACTACCGTGGGGATCGTGAGGATCGCACTGAAATCGTGATAAGCGAATGCGAGAACGCCCTTGTTTTGATCCTTGGCGTTTGGGACCTTTGTGGTGACGAAGCACGGCGTCACCTTTTGGTACCACCTAGCCATGAACTTTGGGGCTACGGCGTCAGTTTGGAATTTCAACGGAGGCGCCGACGCACTCCGGCAGCTGCTGCGGGGAACACGGGGGCTGTTGGTAGGACGGGGCACTACGTCGACGACTTCAACGGCATCGACGACGGCCTCCGGCAGGGGAACACGTGGTGCAGGATGTCACCTTGCACCTCGACGAGAAGGGCGTCACACTGTGCCCCAGGCCGAGCCACATGCAGAAGATCAGGTTGCCTAAAAGAGCGGTTAAGAATTTTATATAAGGTGACCATAATTATCTTTGGAGCATGCTTTTTACTCTTTGGTATGAGGCGGGGCCCGAGGTTGGGCAAGTGAATCACCCTTGTGGCGCTAGATTAGCGATAGTTTGTTGCTAGAACAACAAGATATATCCTCAT